CCCGTCCTCCTCCCCCTCCTCCTCCTCCTCCCCTCCTCCTCGGGCTCCTCCTCGAGCTCTCCGCCGCGGAGTGGTGTCCGTCGCGGGACGCCCCCCATCGGAGGCCTCGAGCCTTCGGCGCGCGGTCTCGTGCGCTTTTAACCCGCGCCCTCTCGTGGTCACGTACCGACCGCAGCTTCAAGTCGGGCCTGTCCCTCGACAGGAGGACTATGCAAAAATAGTAATCAAATCCAGGGACGATTGTTCGACCACTCTTGGCTACCTTTGATCGTCTTTGGGGTATGTTTTTCGTTTTTCGTTCAAAATCCGCCTGCGGGAGGACACGCCCGACCTGGCCGCAGCTGGCGGGCGGAAGCTCTTCAGCGCGAGCGAGGGGCCCAGACCCCCAGACCCCCTCGCGCTGCGAACAGAATCGCGACGGGAGGTCTCTCGCCACGGTTCGGCGTCCCGGGGCCCTTCCCGGGCCTCTCGGGACCGTCAAGAAACGGTTCGGGATGATCGGGGGCGGCAAAGAGGGGGCTGATGACTAGGGGGGGCGGATATCATGGCGGGGGTTATGATATTTTCCCAAATCTCATGGCCGCGCCCCCCGCCGCCCCGCTGGGCCGCGCACGTGCCGCCAGTCACGATTTGCACCCCACCCTCTTGGACACCCCCTTAGCCGCTCCCGAGAAATTGTTCGAGTTGAGAAACCGGTCCTGGGGAATGGGTCCAGACTTTTGGGGGTCGACGTCATGAAAATGTTATGACGTCTTGGGCCTGGGGGGGGGAATGAGAAGGAGAAGGCCTTCTCGGAAGGCGGCGAGACTTCTCAGAAACCCTCGCTCCTTCTGAGAGGTTGTTTTGTCTTCGAGGAAGGCTTCGAAAACTTCTCGGAAGACCGGGGGACTTCTGAGCCTTCAGAGACGGCCCGCCCTTTCTTACTTCTCCCCCTCGCTCGCCGCCGAGAAAATGCAAGAACGGTGTAACATGAACTTGTCCGCAGTAGGGAACGCATGTCCCAGGAAGGCTCGAAGGTTCATACCCAGACTGTGCTACACCAGGGCATAGGTTTTCCTGGCGCTCGGGAAAACCCCAGCTGCGGGCAGGTTGATGTTACCGGAGGTTGATGAATGATGCCGAAAGTGAGGACGGAGGTCCAACTCAGGAGATCGGGTTCATTTCCGGTTCGTGTCGTGCGTGCGGAATAGGCGACGTTACCCGAGTTCCTGCGCTAGCTAGGCCCATGCCAAGTCAAAGTTCAGTACGTCGGGTCCCCGTGCACCGGGGCTTGCCCGGAGCTGTCCCGCGGTCGTAAACCGTGGTTTTCACATGGTTGTCCCATGTTTGCTCCGCGGTAATCCCGTGGTCGTCCCGTGGTTGCCACGCGAGTGCCCCGTGGTTGTCCCGTGGTTGTCCCGCTTTTGTCCCGTGGTCGTCCCATGGTTGTCTCCCCGTCTGAAGACATATATTTAGTATGACCCATCTATTATGAGGGCGATCGGTCGATTGATCGCGATAGTGATGTCAATTGTGAGACCGACTGGTATAGTGAGACGTTACACGTTGATTGTGGGAGCGATGCAAAGATAGTGATACCGATCGATCAGGGATATCGGTTCCATTACACGTCTCCCATATACGGGAAACCTCTTTCCGGGAGCCCCCGGGCCACATACAACCTCCCCGGAGCCAACCTGGAGCTGTCCCAGCCCCCCCAGAGCTCTTGGGCAGGTTCCACGAAGGTCCCAGACGGGCCAACGAGGCTTCCGGACGGCCCCAGATGGCGTCTAGACTCTAGACGGCCCGCAGCCCCCAAGTCGCCCCAAGTCGGCTCGAATCAAAAGGGCCCGAAGAGGCACAAATCGTGCCATATCCTTACAGGAAGTGGATCATTTCTAGCACACTCGCTTTTTAATATTGACAGCGTCCAAGACGGCCGAAAAGGCCCCCAGGAGAGCCCCAAGATGGCCCAAGAGGTACCAAGAGGGCCCCAAGACGGTCGAAGAGGGCTCCAAGACAGCCCATGAGGCACCCAGGACCGCCCAGGACGGCCCACATGTCGAGGCCTCCGCTCCAAGAGGACCCCGAAGACCGCCAGCAGGCCCCCAAGGAATTCCCAAGAGAACCCAAGAGGCCCGAGAGAGACCCAGAAGAGGCCCCGGAAGGTGCCTCCAAGTGGCTCCCCAGAGACCCAAAAAGGCATGCAAAAGCTCCCAGGCGGCCGCCGCAGAGATTAACCGCCGCCCCCAGATAATCATGGGCCCCCCCCCTTTCGTACTGAGAGTTGCTGATCCCTGGCCAATACAGGTTGGGTCAGGGAAGGGAGGCGGCAAGGCCGAACTTTTTCATCGCGTGGGAAAGTTGCGAATCGGAGTTGCTCTCTTGTTATGTTGAAATGCTAGGATTCCTCAGGCTTCCGATTGATTTCCTCGGGAACCCTATGGATGTCCTAGGGAACCCCATGGATGTCCTAAGGAATCCCATGGATTTCCTACGGGGGCCTAAGGCAAGCTGACGGAATGCATGATGAATCCGATGCATTTCCTGCAGAATCCTTCGGATTTTGAAGAATTAGATAGATTGCTGCAGGAAGCCCATGGGATTCCTGAAGAAGGAATCCTTCGGAAATCCATATGATTCCGTCGGACATCCATCAGAGTCATTCGGACATCCGTCCGAGTCCTTAGGAATTCCATAGGATTCCGTGGGCAATCCACCGGATTCCCCAGGAAATCTACAAGAACACTTAGGACATCGGTCGGAGTCCTTTGGAAATCCACAAGGAATCCCATGGATTCTTTAAGGATTCCTATGGGTGTTCTGAGGTAGCCAATGGTTTGCCCAAGGAATCCAATAGATTGTCTGAAGGGACCTATGGATTTCCACAAGGAAAGTAATGCACTTCCTAAGGAATCCGATGTATTTCCCAAGGGCTCCCTTGGATGTTCTTAGGAACCTTCTAGATTTCCCCAGGATCCCCGTGGGTTTCCAACGGAATCCAATAGATTTCGTAAGGAACCCTATGGATTTCCAACGGGCTCCGATGGATTTCCTAAGGAATCCGATTGACTTCCGGAAGAATCCAATGGATGTCCGAAGGATTCCCATAGAATTTCTCAGGAATCCTACGGTTTTCTGAAGGCAGCGTATGGATGTACTCGAGAATCCGGTGGTTTCCCGAAGGATTCCTTTTTGATTACATCAGGAATCCGGTGGATTCCCCAAGGAATCCCATGGATGCCCCACGGAAACCTATGGATGTCCAAGGGAATCCTAAGGATAACGTAAGGAATCCGATGGGTTTCCTCAGGAATCCGAAGGGTGCCCTGAGGAATTTCATAGTTGTCCTAAGGACGCCTATGGATTTGCGATGGATTCCTAGAGATGTTGTAAAGAATCTTGCGAATTGTTGTAGGAACCTATGGATTTCCCGAAAGGGTTCCTACGGATAAGGGATCTTATGATTTCAGGGTTCCCATGGGTTTCCTTAGGGATCCGATGGATTTTCTGAGGAAGTCGATGGGTTGTGGAATGGCGTCGCTGGATATCTTTAGGAGTCCTATGAATTTCCGAAGGACTCCCATAGATATCCTAAGGATTCCTATAGATGCCTCAGAAATCCCATTGATGCCCTACGGAATACAATGTGATGTCAAAAGGAACCCGATGGATGTCCGCGATGATCGTATGGATGTCCTAAACATTCCGATAGATGTCCCAAGGAATCGCATGTATTGTCTCAGGATGCCCATAGGTCTTCGGAGTTGCATGGGTGGTCTAAGGAAGCCGATGGGATTTGCAAGGACGTCTATGGATGTCTATAGGGACCCTATGGATACCCTAAGGGTTTCCTACTGCTCTCTTAAGGCATCCCCTTGATTTCCGAAGGAATCTTCTTCCCCTTCCTCCTTGTGCGCCCAGCCCGAACTTTTTGTTCCCTGCTTTTTTTATTCCCGCCAATGGGCCGCCTGCATGCGCCATTGAAATTATTCAAAAGCACTGGGTTTTACGAATGCAAAACCTTCGGTCACGAATCGATGTGTCCCAACCATCCTGTGGTGTTGGGTCTTCGTTTTGAAGAGACGGTCCCCGCGTTCTCCTTATTCCTCCTCCCTCCTCCCCCTCCTCCCTCTTCCCCCTCCTCCTTCCTCCCTGCGTTTCACCCACCCAGTACGACGTTTCGTGGCCCCATAGGGAGCCCGACCGACGGCCCCAGTGCTACCGTCCACATGCGTCCCCCGCACCCATGTTGCGAACACGGACCCCTGAGGGCCCCTCTAGAGACCCCTCCACTGCCTGAGCCCTTGCGGACCTGTCTGTTGCCGTAGCCACTGTTATGGTTCGATAGGCCCCCTTCCGCGCGGACGCACGGGCGCCCTCAGCCGCTATCAGCAGGAGGCAGGAAGAGCATCATCCTCAGATCCTCTCGAGCTCGACTCCTCTCGCGATCATCAGGACGGATTCGCAGTGGCTTGAGCCAGAACAGCGAGAAGTGAGGAGCACGTGACTGGGCAGGAGCCCGTCACACGGTGACGATGACAGACCAAGGAGGAGGTGCAGCCAGCGTGAAGCGGTTCAGCGGGGACGGCAACGACGGAGCTGCTGCATACAAGGTGTGGAAGCGTTGGGCGAGGGCGGCGATTGTGGTCCAGAAGGCTCGGGGCACTCCAGCAGAGGCTCTGGGCCCGTGGTTGTACACGCTCTTGGATGGACAGGCAGCCCTGGCAGTGGAGAACGTAGACTTAGCGGACATCAACGTAGACAACGGTGAGGAGGTGGTGTTCGACAGATTAGACGAGCGGTTTCCTGAGAAGGTGGCAGCGGACCGTCTCGGAGAAGCGATGGAGGAAGGCTTCAGCCTGCGCGTCCAGAAGCAAGAGACGACGGAGGCCTACACCGGGCGCGCGCAGCTCGTGTACGCGCGTCTGGCCAAGGAGGGCGTGGACCTGCCGTCGGTCGCCAGAGGCTACCTGATTCTGCGAGGTGCTCGGCTGGGACCCTTTGGTCGTGCGACGGTGATGTCTGCGACCCATCGGAGCTGGAACGTGGAGGAGGTGTGCACGGCAATCAGGACGGCGTTCCCAGGAGTTCCACCAGAGAGGCTCACGCAGACGGCGTTCGCGGTGGAAGAGGAGCACGGGGACACCGAGGTCGGCCCGCCGCCGGAGCACTACGCGGAGGAGAGCGTGGAGGACGACATCACGGACGAGATCGACGCGATCGTCCAGGCGGCGGAGCCGATCGATGAGGCGGACGCGGTGGAGATCCTGGCGACGTGGAAGCAGACACGCACGGCGATGACCAAGGAGAAGTTGGACCGCGGGCTCAGGCCTCAGTGGAAGGCCCGACCAGGACAAGGAGGTCATGGTGGACCGACCCGGCACGACCTCGACAAGCTCGGCCGTAGGGTGAAGTGTTTTCGGTGCAAGAAGATCGGCCATTTCAGCAGGGACTGCAAGGAGCCCCTCCCAGCCCACAGCTCGCAGATGGTGTTCGTCGAGCCGATGGATGAGGAGGACCAGGAAGAAGCACGAGTTCAGGCAGTACTGGGAGCGGCTCAGGACGACGAGATCATCGACGGGGACCTGGACGACGAGATCAATAGCATCCTGAAGGTCCACGAGGACAATGTGCTGGCGAAGCTCATCCAGCAGGAGCGCTGGAAGCGGCTGGCGCACGAGATGAAGGAGCAGCAGGAGGACGAGTACGCGTCGGTCGAGAAGAGGGTCGCCGAGGAAGGGACGGTCCTGGGCGTGACTCACGCCGACGGCTGCCCCGTGCCAGACACGGGGTGCTGCAAGTCCCTGATCGGCGAGGAGACGTTGACCAAGCACGAGGCGGCGACAGGCAAGAAGGCGAGGTGGTTGAAGGACGCCAAGCCGATGCGGTTTCGCGGGTTCGACAATAGCGTGCAGGAGTCGGTCGGTGCTGTGGAGCTGGACTGGGAGATCAAGAACTTCATCGTGACGTTCGTGGTGTATGTGGTCCCGGGCTCTGCAGGTTTCCTGATGAGCAAGCCCGACATGAAGGCTCTGGGCGCGGCCCTGGACCTGGAGACGGACTCGTTGTACTTGAAGCGCCTTGGCCTCACGATTCCCATGAGTGAGACGGTGGCAGGCCACTACGAGATCGATTTCCTGAACCGGGAAAAGAAGGTGAAGAGGCAGGCGCACACGTCATCAGTGCGCGTGCGGGACGTGGGGAGTCCGCCCACACGGATTTTTCAGTAGGGCCGGGTCGGAGCCCACAGGCCAGGAGGATGGTGACCGAGCTGTTCTCCCCACCTCGTATCGTGCCAGTAGCGGCGCGGTGCGGGTTCTTGGAAGGTCAGAGTCTCGACAAGGTGCACGGCTGGGATGTGGACAAGGACGACGACTACAACGCCATGTGGCAGCACATCATAGAGGACGAGCCGTACTTCGTGCACATGTGCCCTCCATGCCGGAAGTTGTCGATCATGCAGCAGTGCATGCCCTTGGATCGTCGGAAGGATCTGGCACAGCATTTCAGAGATGTGAAGTGGTCGGTGAATTTGGTACATGTGGTCGTGGAGGTCGCGATCTACCAGATGGAGCGGGGCAGGCATTTTGTCTATGAGACCCCCCCGAGGTGCGCGAGCCTCCAGGTGCCAGTGATGAAGCAGCTCCTGCAGACCCGAGGCGTGTACGTGGGCATAGCGAGCGGCTGCGAGTTCGGACTGAGGTGCCCAGACACCCTGAAGTTGATGCCTAAGAGCTGGGAGTTCGTGACGTCTGCGCCGGAGGTCGCGAAAGCGGTTCACCAGCGGTGTGGAGGAGGACACGAGCATCAACATACAGAAGGCATGCTGAAGTGTGGGATCAAGCGCACGGTGTTCAGCCAACGGTACCCCAAGAGGCTGGTAGAGGCGATCGTGCGAGGCATGCGACGACAGTGTCAGGTGGAGGCGTTCAGCTCGGAGGCCGCGTGCAAGGCAGTACAGGGAGAAGAAGAGGACGCAGATGAGACACGCGATGTACTACGTCGGCCTCACAGTTCGATAGAGAGCAGCCTCAGGAAGTTGCATGTGCAACTCGGCCACTGCAAGAACAACGTGCTGATAAGACATCTGCGACACGCACACGCCACGGAGCAGGCGATCAAGGCGGCCAATGATTTCTATTGTCCAGAATGCGAGGGCATGAAGTGCCCCAAGGTCGCTCGACACAGTACACCAGCGGAGACCCATCTCCCTTTGAAGTACGTGAGCATGGACTGCAAGGACTTGCCGAGCTGGATCCCGGGCGAGCGGATCACCTGCCTGGGCATCATCGACGAGACGAGCTCCCTGCACCAGGTGGAGCCAATGATCGGCATGGCGGAGACGTCGAAGAACCTCATGGATGCGTTCGAGCGGGCGTGGATCCGCCCCTACATCCGTCCGAAGTGGCTGAAGGTGGACCCACATCGGGCGCAGATCAGCGACGAGTTCCTCAACTGGTGCGAGCGGCAGGGGATCGAGGCGGTAGACACAGCAGGTGGAGCGAAGGAGCAGAACGGCAAGATCGAGCACCACAACCAGTTGTTCGAGATCATGCTGGAGGACGTAATCCGCGAGGCGCAGCCCCAGACGGAGACGGAGTGGCGCGAGTGTGTCGCGGAGCTGGTGATGGCCAAGAACAGTCTCCTCTCGGTGACCGGGGCGTCCCCGATGCAGATGGTCTTCGGCCGCAACCCGGAGATCCCAGGCGACCTCTTGGAGGACAACCCCGACCTGATCGCCAACAGCGCCATTGTGAACGACCCGATCGCGGCGCAGCAGGCTCGGATCAGGACGGTCACGCGCATGAAGGTTCTCATGCAGCAGGACAAGCTGACGGCCCGACGGGCTTTGGACTCGCGGCCCAGAGTCGTAGCCAAGTGCCTGCCCGGAGACATGGTGGCCGTGTGGCGCATGATGAAGAACAAGGGCATCCCGGGTAAGCGAGCCCACCGCCGTTGGCGACCTGGCATCTGCATGGGCGAGGTGCGTGGCAACTACTGGGTGGCACTGCCGGGCGCGGTGGTCAAGGCGTCGCCGGAGCAGATGAGACCAGCAGTGCGAGAGGAACGACACGCGTGGCGCATGGTGGAGGCAGAGCTGCGGACCAAGATGGTGAACCTGGAGCACTACAGCGGCCAGAGGTTTGAGGACATCACCGGAGGTGAACGACCCCCTGAGGGAGAAGCAGAACAGGTTCCTCCAGGTCCAGAAGTTCCAGCACCACCACCTGTCGTACCAGAGCCAGGAGAGCGAGAACCTAATGATCAGCCAGCTGACGGAGAAGACAAACCCCCAGAGCATCCCACCGGAGGGAGACGCGTGCGTGGCAAGCAGACCATGGACAAGAGGACGGTGAGTGAAGCCTACCAGCCGATGGAGGGCCAGATGGATGAGAACCGCGAGGAGCAGGATGAGGCCAAGCGTCCACGGCTGGAGGAGCAGACGACCATCGACGACCCGTCCAGCAGCCAGCAGCAGTTCGGAGGTGTGACGTACCCTCCGAGTCTGCCGAGCCCACCGCTCAGGGACTCGGCGAATGCACACCTGGCGAGAGATGTGGATGAAGACGTCATCGTGAACGAGGTGGACGTTCTGCTCACGCAGGGCAGTAAGGAGATCAACACCAAGGAAGACAAGTGGAAATCACCCGAGGGCCTCGCGATGATTGAGAAGGCGTACACCAAGGAAATGACGAGCTTGGTGCACGAGACCAAGGCATGGAAGCCAGTGGACTTGGAGAAGTCGCGGCTGCTGAAGACCCAGGTGCCCGATCGGATCTTACGTCCGAGGCCGGTGCTGACGTTGCGGACGGGCGACGACGGCAAGGAGGAGGTCAAGTGCCGGTGCACGCTGCAGGGCTTCAAGGACCCAGACATCCTGGACCTGGTGCGTGAGGGACGGACGGCGAGCCCTACCATGTCCACCAACGGGAGGGCGATGCTCTTGCAGACGTTGGCGTCCTGCAAGTTCGACCTGACCATCGGCGACGTGAAGTCAGCGTTCCTCGTGGCCGAGCCGGAGGCCAGGCCGAATGGCCCGATCTACGTGACGATGCCGAAGGACTACACGCTGAAGGGCTACCACCCGGAGCAGCTTTTCGAGGTGGTCAACGGATACGGCCTGGGAGACCAACCTCAGCAGTGGTGGCGCACGTTCGAGCGGTACATGTTGGAGGAGCTGAAGTTCGACCAGCACCCCATGGACCCGTGCGTGTTCCTGCTGAGGGAGCCCGTGACCCAGGAGAACGCCGGCCTGGTCGCCAAGGACAGGGTGTCGGTGATACCGTACGCCACTGGTTCTGAGAGCGCACAGCTGCGTGGTGAGCCTGGCGCGCTGTGCGGCATCCTTGGAGTGCATGTGGATGATCAGATCAATGGTGGCCGTGGACAGCTGTGGGCCACTGCGATGAAAAAGTTGCGAGCGAGGTTTCCATTCAGAAAGTGGGTGACAGGGAGTGGGGAGTTCACAGGATCGGTCCTCACTCAGCGAGCTGACTACTCGATCGCCCAGTCGCAGTCAGAATACACGAAGGGGATCACACCCGCGAAGACGAGGAAATCAGCTCGGCCCGATGATGTAGCCCTGCCGTCGGAAGTGCACAACCACATTTCGACTACGCAGCAGGGGAACTGGCTGGCAGGACAGACGAGGCCAGACCTGAGTTGCCAGATTTCCTTCTCCCAGCAGATCATGCCTCACCCGACGGTCGGCCAGATCAGACGTTCGAATGCGTGGGTCAGGAGGGCGAAGCAGTTTCACGAGATCTCGGTGACTTTCCAGAGTATTGTTCCAGAACGTTTGCGTTTCGTTTGCCACTCGGACTACTCCTCGAAGGACCTGGACGGGACGGGGAGGACACAGGGCGGGTACATCATAGGTGCGACGGACCCCTCCATGGCAAAAGGTCTCTTGGCCCCCTGGTGCCCTCTGGTCTGGAAGTCCCAAAAGATCAAACAAGGGTGTACGTCGACACTGGCAGGAGAGAGCAAGCTCCTGAAGGCGTCTCTGGGCCACCTGGAGTGGATCATGTGCTCGTTCGCGGCCACCCTGTACCCCGCGTTCTGCCTAGAAAATCGGGATCGGTATTCCAGGAAGTTCTCGGCGATCAGCGTTATCGATTGCAAGTCGGTGTTCGACCACGTGACGAAACCTGGGGCCCCCACAGGACTCGATGACAAGAAGGCCTCCATAGACATAGCTATCGCCAAAGGGAGCCTCCGAAGGTTTGGTGGTACTCTTCGCTGGGGCCCGACGGAGCTCATGTTAGGAGATGCGTTGACAAAAGATAAAGCAGAAGCAGCAGATGTACTACGAGCATGTATGAGGGCAGGAGCGTACCAGCTAGCCGACGAGTCCGTAACCTTGGCTAAGGCTCAAAGTGAGAAGGCGGCTCGTGCGAGCCGGGCAAGTGCCCTGGGCCAGCCTCCAGGCCTGGGCCATGGTGAAGTTCGAGGCGACGGGCAGCGACGAGCAGGCCAGGGCATTTCTGCTCGGGCTGGTGGACGTCTACCCGGACGTGTCGTCCTACGTGGAGTCGGAGGCCAGGGTCAAGGTGAGGGTGCCAGCCAAGACGCTCCTGGGCGCCGTGCAGGCGAAGAAGGGCAACACACCGGTGACGCTGCAGTACGTGGCCAACACCGGGAACATCCAGGTGATGACGGGAGTGGCACTGGAGGACGAGATTCGGGACAAGTGCAAGGTGCTGGAGAGGGCGTACGCTTCATGGCAGCGAGCACCGCTCGACCAGAAGCCGAAGTTGGAGATCAAGTCGCCGGCCACGGAGTTCTTCCGCAGCAACACGGTGAAGGCGAGCAAGAAGGAGATCGAGCAGGACGGCGACGAGAAGATCACGCTCCCGGACGACGAGGGATACTCCGAGGCGATGGACGCCATCCTCGAGAGCGTCGGGTGGTCTCTTTCCGAGTACCCGGTGATGAGAGACAGGATTCTCAAGACGTTGCAGATGTACGTGCCCGACGGGGAGGAGGAGACCTCTCCAAAGCGAGCACAGGCGGTCGGTGAAGACGATGATGGCACAGGCGACTGGCAGATGGGTGACAGTGTGAAGGTCAGAAAGTGAGGAGCCAGAAAAAGAGAGTAGACGAATGCGAACACGGACCCCTGAGGGCCCCTCTAGAGACCCCTCCACTGCCTGAGCCCTTGCGGACCTGTCTGTTGCCGTAGCCACTGTTATGGTTCGATAGGCCCCCTTCCGCGCGGACGCACGGGCGCCCTCAGCCGCTATCAGCAGGAGGCAGGAAGAGCATCATCCTCAGATCCTCTCGAGCTCGACTCCTCTCGCGATCATCAGGACGGATTCGCACATGTCGGCACACCCCTCACACGTTTCGTGGCCCCATAGGAAACTCCACCGAAAGCCCCGGCGCCACCGTCCACAGGCGTCCCCCACACCCATTTCGGCATACCCCTCACACGCTTCGTGGCCCACAGGGAGCTCGACCGAAGGCCCCAGTGCCACCGTCCACATGCGTGCCCACACCCATGTCGGCGCACCAAATCACACGCTTCGTGGCCCCATAGGAAACTCCGCCGAAGGCCCGAATGCCACCGTCCACATGCGTCCTCCATACCCATTTCGACACCCCTCTCAGAGGCTTCGTGGCCCCATAGGGGGCCCCACCGAAGGCCCCAGTGCCACCGTTCACATGCGTCTCCCGCACCCATTTCTGCACACCCCTCGCACGTTTCGTGGCCCCATACGAAGCTCCACCGAAGGCCCCAGTGCCAACGTCCACATGCGTCCCCCACGCCCATTTCGGCACACATCTAACATGTTTCGTGGCCGCAGAGAAACTCCACCGAAGACCCCAGTACCACCGTCCACACGCGGCCCCCACACCCATGTAGGCACACCCCCTCGCACGTTTCGTGGCCCCATTGGGAGCTCCACCGAAGGCCCCAGTACCACCGTCCACATGCGTCCGCCGCACCCATGTCGACACACCCCCTTGCACGTTTCGTAGTTTCGTAGGGAGCTCCACCGAAGGCCCCAGTGCTACCATCCACATGCGTCCCCCGCACACATGTGGGTGCACCCCTCACACGTTTCGTGGCCCAATAGGGAGATCCACCAAAAGCCAATGCCACCGTCCACATGCGCCCCCCCGCACCAATTTCGGCACACCCCTCACACGTTTCGTGGTCCCATAGGAAGCTCCACCGAAGGCCCCAGTGCGCCACCGTCCACATGCGTCCCCCACACCCGTTCCGGCACACCCCTCGCACGTTTCGTGGTCGTTTAGGAACCTCCACCGAAGGCCCCGGTGCCATCGTCCACTTGCGTCCCCCACATCCATTCCGGCACACCCCTCACACGCTTCGTGACCCAATAGGGAGCTCCACCTAAGGCCCCAGTGCCACCGCCCGCATGCGTCCCCCACACCCATGTCGGCACACCCCTCGCACGTTTTGTGGCCCCATAGGAAGCTCCACCGAAGGGCCCAGTGCCACCGTCCACATGCGTCCGCCGCAACCATGTTGGCACACCCCTCAGAGGGTTCGTGGCCCCATGGGGGGCGCCACCGCAGAAGTGATTCAAAATTGCGGTACGCACAACTTCATATGGTGGGGTCTTTCGCCAGGCAAATTTTGGTGGGGGTGAGGGTCCAGAGGCGGAGGGAGATAAGCAAGAGGTGGGGGAGGGAAACAGTCAGCTCGCACAGGAAGGACGAGCAACCTTCCAAGGGTACCCTTGCATCCTTGCCCCTTTCGGTCCATTATCTGCGACTTTCGCTGGCCAGTTCGAAAACCGGTAAGAGGGGCCTGCAGGGCCCTTGCATCCGCATCCTTACCGCGCCTCCTTGCCGCACGGATGATTCGGTAGCAAATGATGGGAGCTTGCCGTACCCTGTTTTATCATGTTTTTCGCCTCGAGTAGCGTCGATTAGCGTTTGGGGGGCGACGAGGTAGCGCGATTTAGCGTCGGTTAGCGTCGATTAGCGTCGACTAGCGTCGGTTCGCAAGAGTCAACAAGATGGTACGGGAGGCTCCCATGAGTTGCCACCGAAGGAAAGAGCAAGAGGTGGGGGAGGGAAGACCAGCATGAGGAGGCAGGCGACGAGGAGAATGCACCAGTTGAAGTGGATTGATGCAACCATCTGCCCAGGTGATGACTCTTCGCACGAGTGCTCTCTTCGCCAGCTTTTCCAGTGCCTTTTTCCCTCGGTTGCCGCTTGTGTCAGAGCCTTTTCATGCTCCAGACTAGTTGCATGTATTTGCAAGGAGCTCGAAAAGAAGATAAAGAAGCTGAAGGGCGCCATGAAGGAGCGCCGCTCCGCTGCGCACGGTTCCCGTGCCTGGGATTGGTCATTTTCATGGTAGCACGCATCAGTTCCAGAGTGTCTGAGCGCGGATTCGTCATGATTGCCAGCGCGGACTCCGAACAGCGGACAGTTCGTTCTTTCCACGTGCAGTCACAGCGCCGTAAGGTACCAACCATCGGGCACCAACAGGGCACCAAGAGGGCACCGGCCACAGGGCGCCCCCCCGCCCGCAAGAAAAACGCCACCCATGGGGCACGAGGGATGCGACTTGGAGATCGCAACAAGCAAATCAGGCGGGGTCCGGGAGTCCATGTGGGCGATTGCAGCGTCGGCGCCACCCCAACGTGCTGACACCATGTGCGCGTCGCCCCCCCCCCCAGGGGCGTCGCGCGCACCGAGAGAAGGCTTATAGTGCATGCGTCGCGGCGGGTGCTTTCTGGCCGCACTGCTCGGGAAACGATGTACTACAGTGCCGTTTTTAATACATGCTCCGCGTGTGGATCATGTATAAATAATTCACGGATTTAGTATTAAAAACAACGATGAGTTCATGCATAATTTTATTCATAAGCTAATCATGTGTTACACATCCTATATTAAACAAATCCTATGTATTAAAAACCGCCCTGTACAGGATGGATTTGCGGTCGTTTGTTTATGCGTTGTTTTGCCGATCGGAACGGGCCCTCGGCCCGCCCCCTGCCGCCTGGAGTGGATCTTGGCTGGTTTTTGGCGCCCGTTCCGAGCAGGTTGCGTCTCCCCCACAGTGCGCACTGGTGCAAACAGCCGCACTAAGCGGAGGTCCGGAGTCAGACCCCCCCCCCTTCCCCCCCCTTCTGGCCATTGCCGAAACGCCGAATGAAGAAACGCTGACACTTGGAAGTGTACGATTGCAGTGTGGGCCCATGCCAAGAAACATCCTGCTTACCTCCAGGGTGCCCTGGGTGTCTTGGGAATCGATGGTTCTGCTATGGAAAAGAGTGACGCTCCCACACCAAAATCCATGGACGTCCTGGGGGCACAGGGTTGGGTGTCTTGTGGAAGGTTTCTTTGGTCGGGTTCCTACTGCACTACCCCCTTAACACAAGCATAGCACATATGCGGCAATCACGCGAATACGCACATCATAAAGCACGGGTTGGCGTGCCCATCTTGGAATGCGTTGTGTGTGATGAATTCGGTTGACGTTCAATCAGCATCCCATCATCTTGTCCGCAAAATTCTTCGCAGTGATCATTTTTGAAGCGCATTCGCAGGAAAGGCGTTTGGGGGTCCTTTCTCTGTATGGACCTTTATCTGCCCTTCTCATCCTCACCCTCCTGCTGCTCTATTCTCCTGTTGGTGTGAGAAGGCAGCCCGACTGTAGAGTAGACGTGTAAACCGCACGCCCCAAGTACCCCCCCTCCCCCCCAAGACTTCCCGAAACGGTAAAGCCTCCATTTTGGTTGGACGTCTTATGCATATGATGTATTTCGAAAGGAATTACCCCTCGGCGACATGTCGTGCCGCGTGACGGGCAGCGGAGGAGCATGGTTATATAGCAGAGGGGGGGGGGCACCCGTGCAAGCGAAGTTGGGGTCAGCCCGAGCAGCCCCCGACAACGACAAAGCGTCGGTGTTACTCGGGGCTCTCCTGGGGAGCTCTGGGAGCCTCTGTGGGAGCCCTTTCGTACCGATGCATCGGCGATTTGGCGCCGTCGACAGTGCGATGCTGTCCGTCCTGGTGCATGACCGCGGCACCGCCGATGCATGCGCGATGTGGTGAGATCGTGCGCCCCCATCCGCTCCAGTCCCCTTGAGTTTTTATTCGTTCGTGTGCGGTGTGTGTGTGTTTCTTCCATTCCATCGCCATTCAAGACAACTGAGTGGGCATAACGCACGGATGGTGTTCTACAACACCCGATAGTTGTTTGAGCAGTTGTCCTTGTCTCATGGATCAGCAATAGGGTATGCAGTTCATCAGGTTGTTCATTCTCCCTTGTCTGTGGCTGCTCAGCTCTTGAGAGTTTGAAATAAGGATCGGCTCGGATATGTCCTTGGCAGGAATCAGGCCAAATTTGCCGAATCCCGTTCAATTACGCTCAACCTGGCCTCATGGGATGCAGTACATGCCTTATTCCAGCTCAATTGGCACTGATTCCGGCCTGACAGGTTTTTCATCGCGCCCACGATGACCTTCCAGGTCTTCCTCCTCCTTCTCCTCCTTCTCCATCCCCTGGGGAAGGAGGGGGGAGGCACAGTAGACAGGGGTCGGAAGTTGTTGCCAGTTGTCGTCCTGGCCCAAGGTGCCCTGACCTGTGCGCTACATGTTCTAGCCAATAGGGCTGTCCCGGTTTCGTGTTGGGTGTTTTGGAGGTCACTTAGGCCTCCAGGAATATTGTGAGCCTCCTCCTGGCGCTTGCCAGGGGGAGGAACATGCAACCAAACAGGTCAGAGAGAAGCAGGAGACGGAATGGCCAAACGACGGGTACGTCACCCGCTCGGATCCTCCTCCACCTCCTCCTCCTCCTTATTCTCCTCCTCCTTGCCTCCGCTCCCTGGGGCAGCTGGGTCAGGAACACCGCGGAGGTTGATTAGGGCGTCAGGAGCCCCGCCCCGAATCCTCTTCCTCCTCCTCGCCTCCGCTTCCTAAGGCATCTGGGCCAGGAACACCGCCGATGTTCGGGCGTCAGGAGCCCCGCACCCCACGCGTTCTTCAAGCCTGCGCACTGAGGCACCGCCTGCATTGAACACCATGGTTTGAGTCGGGCCTGTCCCCCTACAGGGGGATTTTCGACGAAAAATAAAAATACCCCCAA